CTGGTTTTAATTGAAGCTGTTGCTCCTGCTCCTTGATATTAGCAAGCTCCAAGGTTCTTTTTCTTGTGTGTAATCCATAATATTGACCAAGTTTGGCCTCTTTTCATTTTGATGTAAGAGCCACTTGTCAAAGGAAGAGAGAAAGGACACATAATTTTGTTTAACTAGAAAAGCTGCTTTACTGATATTTCCCTTTTTCAATTGATAGAAGTATCATTTAAACATTTATTTTGTAGAATAATTGAAGAGCAGCAACAGCCAGTTTTAAAATAAGAGCAAAATCTGTTGTCATTTAACATATAACTGTTCAGAACCATTTAAAAGACATTAAACATTGTTCACATGTTGATGCCAAAATAATGCTGCTTTCCATGGTGAATTATAAGAAAAGAAGAGCTATATTTTATTAGTCTTCACAGAAAATAGTGAGAATAATCCATTATTTGCTGTTTCAATATTCAAAAAAATAACCTGAAGTTAATTTTATAGCAGTTTTTCTCACTCTATGTGCAGAACACCCACAAATACATAGGTTTTCTTGAACTGATATCTTATGTTCTTACCAAAATATAATGTTCAGCATAGAACATTGTTTTCATATTTAAGAATGAATTATGCTGCTCTCTCCCATTATGTAGGAATCGCTTACATAAATTTTCTGTGAGTCAGTGGAATGGTTGCAGATATAATTAATTGTAGATCTTACCTTTTCAGTAATGTCATAGTAGAAAATGCATAATGCCGTTTTCCTTTTGGGTAGCATGGGCTACCCAAATGGACTGAAACCCAAGGTGTCTTTTCCCACTTTTTCTGCCAGGGTGTACCAACAGAGCTCAACCACTTCACAGACAGTGGAAAAAATGACTGCTTTGTGGAATAATTCTGAATGCCATGTTCAGAACAAGGCATTTGAAGGGTTATCTTCTTGTTTCCAAAATGTTTTGGAAGAGCCCTTCCCATATTTTTAGGTGTATTTCCATAACCAGGTGGCTGAAGTTTTGCAAGCTCAAAAAAAAGAAAGAAATATGATAAGAAGTAAGCTTGAACTGGAATTAAAAATATCACAAAACTCAGTTCAAAAAGAAACAGATCATAAAGATTCCAAGTGTTAAGAGAGCATCATTTACCATTTTGTCCTCACAGAAGTACATCAAGAGTATGAGATCTGTATGTTGGTGTGAAAAAAGAGCAAGTGTTGCTTTGATCCAAAAATGGATTATTTATAGGAGTGATGTATCATGTTAATATAATACAAGAAAGGCAGTTTTATTTTTGAAATTCAGAGCTTGAGAAGAACATGTTGCAAAGATGTTTTCAGTGTGGCTGTGCACTTTAGGTTAGTTTACTTCATTTTCACTTTTTGTTTTATGATCTGCTAATCTGGCATACTAGCAGATTTATTAGTATGGAACAGTTGCTGTAACTTTCTTTAAGGAAAGTTCCAGGACCGGTGCTAGTGCCAAATATTAAGGAAGGAGATGAAAAAGGTTGGGCTGTTTCCTAAGCTACAGAACAAAGGATTCTTTTAGAGCAAGGTTTCTCAACCGTGGCAACTTTAAGAAGTGTGGACTTCCACTCCCAGAATTCCCCAGCCAGCATATCTTAAAGTTGCCACGGTTGAGAAACCCCTGTTTTAGAGTGGCTTGACTAAAGAAAATAGGTTTTTTTCCTTGGTCATTCAAGGAAGAATAATAGAGGAAGAAATTAAGAACTAGAACTGGATGCAAGTCAAACATACTTTTTTTTCAAAAAGTAAAACAATGAGTTAACTATTACATGAAACCTCTTGCATTTTTAATCAGTTTTCCCATCCAGCCTTCCTTCTGGATACAAACATGAATGTGTCTTATTAAGCATTCCAGGGAATGTACGGAATATACCGTTCCCTCCTTTTATCAAGCCTCGTTCTATAGAATATTCATACACTGAGTCTGTGCAATGTTCTCCCAGAGTTAAAAACCGGGGTAGCACTAATAATAGTAATGGATTATAATAATGACATATTCATAGAGAAGCTTGAAAGTTTTTTGAGTATCTCGTATGCGTTATACTAATAATCGCGGCAAGAATTATTTTAAGGCTGCCGGGTGAGTTTGTGTGTGGCTCAGTCTTAATCCCATCAGATGGGACCGAGGGGAGACAGACTGAGCCTAAGACCGGAACAGGCACAAGAAGACTTCCAGAAATGCACGGTAAAGAACTGCCAAAGGCTTCCAGAGCTAAAGAATATTCCATCCTAAACTTGTTATGGTGGCAGAAAGAGGAGAAACCTCCCACCCTGGCATCTTACGCTGAAAATTCTTATAAATCCATTTCCTCAGTACATCCTAAAATCAGATGCTTCATTTGTTGGGCTGGCTGTTTTATTGTTAACTGAAATGTTCCAGTGCTGCAGGCTTGGAAAATGTAAGCAACATTGTGTTACAGTGAAAAATGTGCCTAACAGAAGTAGAATTTGAACACCTTGTCATTGAAGGCTTGGGGGGGGAAAATATACCAGTTAGATTTTTTAGCAGAGTTAACAGATGAAGAGTCAGCACTTGCATACAGCCATCCACTTGGAGCAGTTCACATACATTGCAGTACAGACAACCAACTCTGAGTCTTCCTGTAAGAACAGCATTCACTATTGAATTGAGAAATGAGTAAGTTACTTCATTGCGATCCCAGCAACCTGTCATTTTCAGTAGCAGCATTAAGACAGCACTGGGGGATTCCAAAATGAACCAGTTCCAGTTATGGTAATGCAAAATGTTGAAATTGGTACAATAAATTATTACTGAAATCTGACTGCAAACAGCCTGCTTTCTGTAGATGTCTGATTTTATATGAATGCAAAGCTGTAACACCCAAGAAGGAGTAGACTAGGTTGTGTGTTTCAGTTGAAAGCAAGGTTGCTCTCTGGAATGCGCTCTCCCCCCAGATATTCTGGGGTCTCCTGGCTTGGCATCTGCCAGTGCCCGTCTCTTCATCCAAGCCTTTGCTCCAAGAGTGTCATCGGCTTTCTTTTTCTTTCCTCCCAGTGCTCCACTTGGCAATATATTTTATACTGACTGTTTCAGTTATCCTGATGATATCCTTTTGAGAGGTTTCAGCCCACCTTCTTCAATTATCCGAGCGTCCCTCCTCCTTACTGTAGAAACTGTCCAAAATCTGCTTTTCCCACCCAGGCAGTAGACTGGAAGCAGGAGAAGGACTGATTGCATTCAGATACCTTAAACGGAAGTTGCATTAAGTAAAATAAAGAGGAAAAATGCAAATGCTCATCTTCTTTCTCCTTTAAACCCCCTTAGGTGTCATTTACTGATAAATATTTGATACAGACGGTGAGCAGGGTTATTTTGCCCACAGTTCTGTCAAGGCAGGGTCATAATAGCTCCAGATGTGTTCAGCTGAGAGCCCAGGCTGGGTTCCACTTGCCCTCTGTGCTGCATGCTCTGCCCCCTCCAATCCCCAGTGCAGGAGATGGGTGGGGCTGCTAAGAAACATGTGTGACATTTCCCCCATAGCCACCAGATTAAGCTCGGCTCTACCATCATCGAAACAAGAATGATATAAGGCAGACCTCCCTAACCTGGCCTATCTACAGGTGTTAGGACTGCAATCCCCAGCATTCCTAGCCTCTCTGGAGGACACCTAGACTGGGAAAGGTTGATGGGTTTGAGTCTTTGCTGGGAATCACAGCCGCAAGAGAGACCTTTTTTCCAGAAGCTGTCCTTCTTCCCACTCCCTTGCGGGGGGGATCCAGATTATGGATTTGGGGCTGCGTTCCAGGGTGCTTCACTACCTGGGCAAACTTTTACTAAAAGAGAATGCCTCCAGCAAGTTGGGAAGGAAAGAATCTACGAAGCCAATGGCCAACATACCAGCCATTCATCATTTCTGACATCGCTGAGCTGGGAATATTGAATGGGAAGGGTCAACAGTTGCAAGGAAATTAAAGATGTTTTAGGTTCATGCATTTCGGAGGTATCCCTGGAAAGTTTTAAGTATGTTTTATGACTTCACAATGTTTTGTTATTTAGTTTGGACTTGTTTAAAAAATATTTTTTAGGTAAAGTAAGGCTCCCCTTGGAATGGGACAGACTATAAATTCTAGTAAATAAAGGGATGTAAAGTAGTGTACTATGAAATTGAAAGGACGTATTGATCTGTGCAAAAAGCTGGATGGATTATTGGAAGCTAGAAGCTACGTTCTCCAGGGCAGGCTACCTCCCAGTTTGTTGGCTCATCAGTGACTTCCACCCTCAAAGCCGACTTTCTGCCCATGTTGCTGTACTGCTCTGACTTGTTCAAACCTCAGCTTTGAGCCTTCGAGGTCAATGGGAATATGGGAATTGCCCAAAAGGAAGGCTGCAAATAGACTAGCAGCCCAGTGTGGTTCTCAGCCCAAAAGTTGGTATATGGAAAGTAGCTATGGGATTCAAGGGCATATGGTAAATTGTCAAAAGTAGAGCATAAACTAGTATTCACCAAGTACAGGCAGATAGTTCAGCTACATAATTAAAGTTTTCTTAAAAAGGGGGGGGGGTTATGAGCAGACCCTGGCAGTAATCCAAAATTCTAATTTCTGACTATGATTTAATTTCAATTTTAAATAAATCGGTTTTTAATTTAAAAAGAGTGAGCTTCATAACATTAGCAATGATTGCAACATTAAGCGCAGTGCTCACAATCTAGCAATATAAAACATTATTTATATCTGAATCGTAAACAGCCTTTTGAAATGGATTATGCTTTTTCTCCCTATTCTAATACAACCTGGAGGGTAGTAAAGAGTGTTGTGTGAAATTAACATTCTGCTGACTTTCGCCTATAAATGAGAAGCGAGCTATTAACATTTGTGTATTTTCATTATGTAAATTGTGTTAACACATGCCCACAAATTGCCACCAGCGATACAATAATTTTCTCTCAGTGATCATAATGTGTCCAAGTGAGTCATTTTGATTATGACATGCTAATTACATATTGCCTCCCCTTTTTTTCCCCCTTTTCAGATTCAGAAAAACCAGGGATCTTTAATGGTAAGCTTTATGAGTTTGGGAAAAAAATTCACTTTTCTTTTTCCTGATGGCTGCTTCCTTCGCATGCTTGAATGCCTTGTTTTAAACTTAGCAAATTGCATTTTGCGGAAAAAGCAAACCTTTAACTGCCTGTATTAGATTAGGTACCATTAGAAATAATAGGACATCCTGAGCCACGATGTTTTTATAAGAGTTTGCTGCTGTTGATTAATCTTGCTATATTTTATTGCATTAATGATTTTTTCTTTCCACTCCATGTAAAGATATTGCATATGGCTTAATACTTCTCTCCCCTCCCCCCTTTCCATCACAGCCTCTCCAGTTACTCCAGTGCATTGTTGATGAGGTGAGTCGCCGTCTTATGTGCTTTCACTCCTAAAGTCATTCCTAATGGGCTGGAAAGCTTATATTTTGTTTCCTAATGAAGCACAATGGCCCGGCGTCCTCAACGGCGAGACAAGTTGCCTTGTGCAGCTCTGAGCTGTCGAGCTCTGCTTGGCCTTGTTCTGCTTTGTGCCATTTTCTGACTCTTCCTATTGAATTCTTGGGGAGACAAGGCTGTTTTCAGGGAAATCTCTTCCCTCCCCCTCCCGGAAAAGAGAGGCCGTAGAACCCCCGTGTTAATTGATCACCTCTCCGCCTTGCCAGATGAGGTAATGCACAGAAAGGCAAGCTGTGATTTGGCTTCTGAGTGAGGTATGCTTTGGGTGGGCAAAAAGGGAGCCCTATTAATAGGGGTCAGAGTTGAATTGTAAACAAGAACAGATTGAAAGGTGGCGACTTGTTTTAGTGTTGCCGGGGGAGAAAACTGGGTACCCTGTTGTTGATACGCCTCTTCTCTGAAGTCCAGATCCTTTGCGTTCATTTGATCCCAGTCTGGAGATTTCCTCAAGGAGCTCCCTATCCAAGCTCCAGACGGTGGTGTCTCCTCCAGCACAACAGGCAAATCCACGCCAGCTGTCCTGGGTGACATGGGATGGCAGCAACCACTGCATTTCAGAGAGGGTGCCGTGTTGTCAAAGAGGGATGGCGGAAGGACTTTCTTTCCTTGGTATCAGTGAGCCCCTCTATTTCTCTTTTTACTTTTGGGGAGGTTGCTGCAGGCAGGTGGAAGGCATCAGAGCTCCATCCCTCGGCTGTCTCCTTTCTTCTCCCGGGCAGACCTTTGCCCCATGTTGCTCCAGAATATTCTTTGGTGAGGAAAGTCTCTGCTGGAGAAGGGAAAAAAAAGAGGGGGGGGGACTTGCAGCTCAGGAACCTTGGAAAACCAGTGAATCTGGGAGAAACTAAGTGGGAATTGCAGTGAGCAGGTTGGTGAAGCCACTGGAGCCAAGATGAGTGATCCAGAGGAAAAAACTCAGAGAAGTTGGGTTGTATTTTGAGAGAGTCCATGTCTCAGACATATCCAGATTCTTGAGCAACTTGCAGTCTTCTAACAGAATCCATAATTCTACTGAAACATCCATTTTTGAACCTAGGTTTCTGCTTATTCACATTTCTGCATGGCCACTGCTGAAGGTTGTGAAGTATATTCTACTGCCTTTACATCCCTTTTGTTCTCTCTTTGATTGCTTGTCAAAGTAACATTCTTGTCCACAGCACCTGTGCAGTCCTAAATATGAATCCCATACCTATAGTTGAGCAATGTCCTAACTTAGTTATGGCTTTGGATTCATCTAGTTCTTCAACATCTGGAAGAATGCAGTGACTTTTCAAGGCACTAAGGATTTCTCTAGTGCCTTGATTTCTAAGAATAAAAAAAGTGTCTTAAAATAATCTTTAATATGGAAGCAAAGCATGAACCTGCAGATGCATAATAATTAATCCCATCTCAAATCTAACTTTGTCATAGTAGTTTCTGATTCCAAACAAATTGTGCAGTAGGACATATTGCAACCAACATCTCTCTCCCAACACTCCTTCCTCCAGTCCCTACTGCAGGAAGAGCCACAGAGACTTACCTGGAAACATGATGGATCCAAAATCCTTCCTGAATGAGCTTGTAAAGTTGATGGACAGTGATCATTGTAGACTTAACTATCCCTGCCAAAACTATCTGGCCAAATTTGTCTTAGAACTTCATAATGACCATGACAACCAATCTCATAACAGTATATTGTAGGTAATTTTCTTGACCTGAGCTTGAGGCAAGATTCTGATGTCATATACAGGTTTCTCCTTGTATGTAACAGGCAGAAGAGGAACATTTCCTTCAGGAAAGTGGGAACCTTTTTAAGGTGGTCTGTTTTGGAGACTTGCACAATTTTAAAGTCTCCTGAATGCTATGAAGGATTTTCAGTTGAGAAGCTTTGCTGTTTAGAAACATTCATATCCAATATGATCCTGGATCCAGTAGATACTGGAGTTAATGCAAGCTGTGGGTTAGGTTCAGTTGTTATGACTGGAAGAAGTAGACAAGGCACTTTTAAGGATTCAGTCTGCTACTTGTTCCCATGACCCTTGCTCATCATAGGTAGCGGTGTTTAGCAGGAAAGAATGGATTGGTTGGGTCCAAGGAATAGATAATATTTCTCGCCATACTAGGGTTCACTACAGTTTCTATGTGTGTCCTGCTTCAGAATAATGGGACAGCATGCCATCAATGTTTGGCAATTACATGAAGAACATATCATGGTATGAGGGGAGCCTATTACTATTAGGAAATTCCTCCTAATATCAAACTGTACTTCCCTGTAGTTTCAACTATTTCATTCTACTTCTGTCCTTCAGAGTAACAGAGAACAAACCCACTCCTCTATGTAATAGTCCTTTAGATATCTAAAGACTGCTATCATATCTCCCTCCAGTTTTCTCTTCTACAGGCTAAACATGTCCAGTTTCTTAACTATTCCTCATAGGACTTGGTTTCCTGTGCTATGACCATCTTGGTAGCCCTCCTCTGAATTTGCTCCAGTTTGTCAATGTATTTTGGAGACTGCAGTGCCCATAACGTGACACTACTCCAACTATGGGACTGATTCAGACAGAATATGGTGGGGCAATTAATTCCCATGATCTGGACTCAATGCTCCTCCAGTTAACATTTGCCTTTTTAGGAGTTTCATCACACTATTGACTTATGTTCAGTTTGCGATCTACTAAAACACCCAAATCCTTTTCACATGTACTATTACCAAATCAGATTTCCCATATCCTATACTTGTATCTTTCATTTTTCCTACCAAGACACGGGACTTAAAACATTTCTCACTGTTGAAATTCATCCTCTTTGTGTCATCCCATTATTCAAACTTAACAAGTCTTTCTGAACCTTCTCTCATTTATTAGACACTCCTATCATTTCTAAACTATCATTTGTAGACTGTGCAATCATTCTGCCAATTAGGAATCCATTTTACAGTTATATCATCTAGCTTATGTTTTACCATTATATTAATAATGAGAACCAGTTTGGTGCGGTGGTTAAGGCACCAAGCTAGAAACCAGGAGAGCATGAGTTCTAGTCCTGCCTTGGGCACAAACTTGTTGGGTCTCCTTGAGTCAGTCACTCTCTCTCAGCCCTAGGAAGCAGGCAATGGTAAACCACTACTGAAATCTTGCCAAGAAAACTGCAAGGATTTGTCCAGGCAGTTGCCAGGAGTCAACACTGACTCAAAGGCATTCTTAAAAAATGAATGAGAGATTCTGTTGAATGCTTTGTGGAAGTTAAGTTACACTTTGTTCATGGTATTCCCCCAATCTACTTAGCTAGTAAATCTATCAAAGAGACTTGTTTGTGACATACCCATGCTTGGTTGGAGAAATCTTAATAGGTTGGAGAAATTGGTGGAAAGTAATAGTATGAAATTTTAACAGAGACAAGTACAGAGTCAGAAAACAAGAACAAATGTACAAGTAGTGGATTAGTATTACCTGCTTGGTAAATCTTTTATGAAAAAGATCTTGGAATAGTAGTTGATTGTGTAATGAATATGAGCTAGGAGTGTGTTGCAGCTGGACAAAAGTCAGTTATAATTTTAGGCTGCATCAACAGAACTATAATTTCCAAATCACGAAAAGCCATTATTTCACTTTACTCTGCTTTGGTCAAACTCCATTTCAAGTACTGTGTCCAGCTCTGGCAAACTATACTTTCTCCAAACAAGAAAGGTTCAGAGAAGGTTCAATGTGATCGAAAGAGGAGAAACTAACCCCAGTGAAGGATTGAAATAGCTGTGTATGTTCAGTCTTGAAAAAAAAAATTGAAATATGAGACAATTGTGTTCTTCAGATATCTATCCAGGCAATGTGTCTGTTTCCCACCCCACCCCACCCCAAAAGCAGTAAAGTAGGTGCCATCTTTGCTCAGTTTCAGAGATACAGTTTTGTTTTCATCCTGTTTGGCTTTTAACTGTCTATATCATGGTTTCTCAACCTCAGGAATTTTAAGATCTGTGGACTTCAATTCCCAGAATTCCCTGGCCAGCCATGCTGGCCGGGGAATTCTGGGAGGTGAAGTCCACACATCTTAAAAGTTGAAAAGGTTGAGAAGCCCTGGTCTATGTGGTGCAGCTTTGAAGTTTTAAAGCCAGCCCTGCTGTTGATCTGATTCATTGTTTAGAATCTCCATGATTTTTCTTCTTGTTTACCTGCAAACAGTTTTCAAATGAAAGGCAGGTTATAAATATTTTAATTTAAAAATTGTTTGCTGCTGAATTGCTTCAGAACACAGCAGCACAAGCTGCAGATTCTCCCAAAGCTGCTAAAATCCAACGCTCTACACAGAAGAAACTCCATGTGGAAGACCGGAGGCTAGATGTCCTGCTTGTGCTGAACTGTTGTGCTTGAATGCCAGAGCCTTTCCTGCTAAGTCAGAGCTTAACCTGCTCACAAGGCCTCCCACGAAACCAGTCGAGGCTCATGTAATGTCATAGAGCCAGAACTGGGACAGAGAATGGAGTGGTGGAGACGCTTGGAAAGGGCAGGAGAGAGATGGTGTTTTTCAAATACGGCCAACCCAAGCAAATACTCTTTTATAACACGGTAAATTCACGACTTCAGTCTTTAAAACAGATTCAGCGTGTTTATCGATGCAAATTACTGTTCAACAATTGTTGGCTTCTGAAGTGGCAGTTGCGCTTCAGACGGAGTTCAGCGTACGAAGGTCATATGTCAGTGCTGTCTATGGTTGTAGGCCTGGAGTGAAGAACTCAGACACGTGTGCTATGATGTGATGCTGCAGACATCAAGCAGGAGCCGGTGTGTGTGTGTGTCTGTGTAGGAGAGAGAGAATTGACACCATGCTGTATCGGTATAATTCAGAATAATCACAAGGATAGCTTTATGCTTGGCTTCGTGCATGAGGAGTCACACGCTTAGCACCATCTAAAATCTCCCTGTGTCCAA